TAAAACCCAAATTGAATATTTATCAAATTGTGTTCATTTTTATGGCAATGAATGTTTTTAATCTATTTCGAAGACTTAGAATAAGATTTAGCCACAGAAGTTTAAATGTAAGGTTTTATGTTACAGCTTGAAAATCGTACAAATTTATTAATTTGACAATCGGTCTCAATATTTTTTGATAACTTTAAAATTATCTGAAGGCAATCTAACATTCAAAGACAAGTTTTGGTCTACATAAAACAGCGATTCACTGAGATAATCTTTTTTTTTAACTGTGTGAGATGTTTCAAGCTATGAGACATCTCACATACAGACTATTAAAGATGAATTACATCCAGACACGGTATATTTTTTACGGGACACGTAATTATTTGTCTTTTTTTGTGAGAATCAGACCTCAATCTTTGACTCAGCAGCCAAGATAACAAAACCAAATAGACCAAATATATAGAATACTCACCAAAAATAACGATAGCCATGAACTATGACCTTCATAATATTGTCTACTAACAGCCTTCTAAACTCGTTTTTAGAAAATAGAAACATAAAACTTAAATTTCGATTTTCAAAAGTACCTGATGTTAATCACTTAATCGTGCAACATCAAAAGGTACAGAGAATCGATTAATTTCTCTTAAACATCGAATCGAACTAATTAGAACAACAGATTACCCTTTGTCAATTAATTTTCTAACGCAAGAATGTAGTTTGTGTGCTAGAAAACTGAGTTAATTAAAAAAGAGAATATCAAGTCAGACTGCTAGACACGCAAACTGGATTTACAGCTAACAATGGTTCACTCTATATTCTGGTATTAGATAATTGCATTTTGATTTAGTGATGTCATTATGCTTAACTTAATTGCTTTATAATATTCTATTGTTTTAGATAACAAACAAATTCTGTAACAAGTATCGTAGTTGTGGTGGATACGTGAGTGAAATCCCTTTAATTTATGGGCAGGATTGTCTGATCATTTTAGGTTTTGTATCACTATTAGTTTGTAAAGGTATATCAAGTGGTGTAAAAACTTTAATGTTAACAAATACCTTTAAAAAGAAATTACCATTTCTTATTTTATCATCATCAACAACCTTTAATAGTCCACTGCTGGACATAGGCCTCTCCTTAGTAATTATTAATTATTAGACTTATTTACATTTGCATAAATCTTCTTTAGGTCTAATCTTAGTAAATGCCAGTAACCAATGTATTGAAAAAACCAATTGAGGAAAAAACAAAACAAACAAAAACACACGGGGTTTTCAGTTAATAGAGATAAAAGAAATCATGAAGGCGAATTTAGATACTGCTCTTTATTTGGAAGTTGGTTAACAAATGAAATGAACGTATGCATTATGACTCAGTAGCAGCAGTCATGATCGATAACCACTGTGTTCTGTTGGACCTTATTTTTACATCTTCGTATGAAAAGCTGAAATACAATTATGTATAAAAGTGAGACATTTAATCGAACATTAAATAAAATATATTCTGGTAAAATATCGATGTTCTAATAATGGAAAATTAAATGTCGAATGTATCAAAAACATCATCATCATCAAAAGCCTATAACAGATTGGACTATCTAAGGCCAGGAGGTTTTGGTCTATTATACCACGCTGGCCAGACGGGTTGGTATAGGGTTTGTTTCAAGTTTTTTTTCTCTTTGCAGTGCTGTTCACCTACGTAGTTTGCTCTCTTAGTCGCCTCTTACGTCACCCATGGGATGGTGCAATCCGTATTCTTAATCCGTTCCCACACAGATCAAAAAACATATTATTAATACTTATTTAGGAGTATACACATGAAATACCCTATACAATGATAGGCAAATCTCTCCAGACCGCAGTCATTGTAACGACAAGTGGGGTTACAATAATATCAAAGTCAATGCCTCTATGAATATGGCAAAAACTTGATTAATAAATTGTGTGATTGGCTAAGTCATACTGCGCGATGTTATTAACCTTCCTGATAGCTTTCATCGCAACAGACGTTTAACTTTATGATTTTAATAATAATAACTTGATGTATCTTACACGCTGCCGTCTGATCCCAAACATGGAGAGCCTGTACCACTGTAACCAGATAGCTAATAAATCATCATCAAGAGCCTTTACTAGTCCACTGCTGGACCTCAGAAAGGAGAACAACCACACTACAAAGGAAAACTTGAAATAAACCCGATACCGACCCGTCTGGCCAGCGTGGTATAGTAGGCCAAAACCTCCTTTCTGGGCTAATAAATATATTTATAAATTTTTAGATACGTTATTCTTATCACATAATTATTTGTCCTGGGTGAAAATTAAACCCACTGCCTCTTTCTTAGCAGTCACTAACCATTAGACCAGCAGGTCAGTCTAAGTCCCCAGTCTCAATCGTTTATAGGGACCTTATACATACAAATATATGTATATATACGCTTATACCCCTAAAGGAAAAGGCATATTATACGCATACATTTTTTTAACTAGGTATAATTTTAGTCCCACTACCCACACGAAATGAGGTATAAGTCTTTAGCCGTTAACCAGGTACTACTATCTACCAGGATAACAAAAGAAAATTGGGACTATATTAGTAGGAAAGGCAGATAAGAAGGCAAGTTAATTTTATGAAAGGCATATTGCTGATACAGATGGACTGAGTCCCGCAATAGGAATACATCCTGTGTCACGGGGGACTTTACAAACATGACATGAAATGGGTGCAAAGAACACCCTCTTAGAATATCAACAATTTGTGGATCACACAAAGTATTATCTCATGTAGAGATTACATTACAATACTAAATCGCAACTCGTACCAGACGTTCGCCTATAGATATATTAAGACAATTAAGTGAAGAAGCTCACAGTGTGAGGCCAATTTAATAACATTCATCATAAAACATCATTTTTAATCTAGAGGTCAAGCAACTTTATCAAAGAATGCTCCTCAATATCACCTATCATTCAGGTGCTTTAATACACATGTATGTTTGATCAATATAAACAGATGATTAACGTTTATCAATATGCTGTTCTAACTGTATTTGCTCGCCAAACGATTAATGTATTGTAAAATCTTATCACCATTCTTTACATGAAGCTCCTCGAGGCGAGGCTGCTATTGTGTAGTTTCACGACAATTGCTAACTTTCAAGATAATAAGTAAATAAATTCTTTTGTGAAACACATTTCCTTAAACAAGCATGCTATGGGCAAAAACTATATAAACAGAGACGAGGACTAAAATATCATTATATCTGCGTTTGCAATAAGTTTCAAATCCCAAATAACAACGACGTGTAGCAGTTTTATATCCACGCACTATTTAAAGAACAGATTTAAAATGAATCTTAATTTAATAACATACTAAACTAACCATAATAAAACCCAAATTAAATACGTAATTTTTTTTAAGCTATTGCATAGCTTCTATCGAGGGCCTTGAGCGCGGGGACCGAATCCAGAAATTCCGTAACGAAAAAAAACCTCACGCTAAAACATTTTTTTTTTTCGTAAAAAGACAACTCCCGCATTAGGAATATATATCCTGTGTCGCGGGGGACTTTACAAACATACATGAAACGGACACAAAGAACACCCATGCTCAGAACAACAATTTGTGGATCACACAAAGTGTCGTCCCATTTGGGGTTTGAACCCACAACACTCGGCGTAGTAGGAAGCGGCGTGGCGACCGCTTAAACCACTCCGCCATCCGTGCAGTCAAATCAAACAAAAAAAAAATTACTTTAGGTCAATTTGAAAAAACCTATTTTTAATTAGAAGTGACATGAGTAGGCATATATTTACCTTAATGATTAATAAGCCATAATCTTATTGTTCACCAATCGGTCTCTACCACCAGCATTTTCTCAGTTCTATAGACACCACAAAATTGACAACATATTTTTGCATGTAGTTAATTCTTTGGTATATAATAAAGCTGTAGACTTTTGTATGATTTTTGCCGAATCACGAATATCACGAAGTTCATAATATCTGAATGGTTGAATAATTATCAATAATATGAACTAGTCAAATCGCCACCGACCGTGTCGCGTCACGCTCCAGTCGCGACCTTCTCTCATAAACAACGATGAAATTACATGATTCAGATTGTAAATAAGTAAAAAAAAAGTTATAAAATCCTATAAAACTTTTAATTTCATTTATCATTTACTATAAACTGTATATTTACTAAAAAGGTATGGAGAAATTAGTTAGATTAAAATCACACATTATTAAAAGTTTGTCGTTGATTTCCATACCTTTTATTGACCATGCCAAAAAAAGCCATTAACATTTCGAAGATTGATAGTTGGCCTCGGTTTTTAATCGGCTTCAAAAGTGATTCTTAATTCGACTAGTTGCAAACAGATTTCCATTTCATTTCTTTTAAATTTATAGAAAATCTACCTCTAAGATGGATGAATTGTAATGATAGATAATAATTATATTTATTAAACAAACATTGGTTTTGTATGTATTCAGTACAATTGATCACAATTTTTAAAAATTGAAGTATCAGGAATAGGTACATCTTATACCATTCATCATGATATTTAAATTAAAAGATAAAATATAAGATAAAAGTTATTTAAAATATTTTTAATTCATAAATAATTATTTTCAATAGAGTTAGCGGAAATTGAAGTGAAAATACAAAAATTTTAAAAATAATAAAGAAAATTAATTTTCTTATAAATACATAAGTACCGCGTAAGGTACCGTATACACATACGGTACCTTCGCGGATTACAAGCAGAGCAGTGACTTAAAACGCAGGCAAAACTACGGGAAACTACTAGTATATTAATACTTACCGAGTTTCAATTCAAAAATATTTTATCGTTAAAATGAAAATCACTTTAATACCTACATAGAGATAATTTTTTTTTTACTATGTCTGTAAGATTCAACTATATTATTCAATTTAAATTTAATAACTAAAAGATTCAAAGATAAATGCACAAAACGATTAATTTTTTTGTGTTTGTTTCAGCAATGTCGGCCGATGGGTCGACTACGGACATCAATGCCCTTCTCAATGATACAGGTAAAAACCTTAAATACTTTATTTAACGCCATCTACAATATAACTGAACAACTAGATTCACAATAACATTCACTATACTGTAGTTCCTCTCGTCAAACATATGTGGCACTAGTAAGTTTGTAACACCACTTGGAATTATTAGTTCTTAGTATCTTTAACAGAGGGCGTTTTATTAAAATCAGTAAACTCACGATTGCTAACGACATCTATCATATTTTCGTACAACTACAAGAACATTGTGTATACAGATTGCGTTATTAGTTCTCAATACGGCCCCTAGCTTTCGTAAGTGTTTGTATTTTGAGAATAGTGAATAACTTAAGTCTTGTTTGAAACTTTATTTATTCTGCTGAAATTATGAATCATTCTGTAGCAAGAGTACTTATCCGTTTTGAGGAAACCGCAACACATTAGCATAACGAACACTGACTTTCCTTTAGTCAATAAACTTTACTGAACTTAATGACTAATATAATATTACATTCACGCCCCTTATACCTACTTATTATTCCTTTCTTTCCTTTCCTTTCTTTCTACTTTTGAATAAAACAGCCATAAAATATTTGAAAATAAAGGAGATAATTCATACTTATATTATAAAATGTGAAAATGTGTTTGTTTGTTATGCTTTCCTGCCTAAACCACTGTACCGATTTTGCAAATTCACCAATAGAAAGCTACATTATCAGCGAGTAAGATAGGTAACTTTTTACCGCGATAACTAACATACACGCGGGCTTAACCGCAGGCTAAAGTTAGTTATTAATAAAGTAGAATACTAACATTTATCTTACAAAGATGAGATACGAGTATTACATCTGTTTTCTACTTGTCATGTTAGAAATTATTATTCTCTTATGTAGCATTGCTCTTTACATGATAGGATTTACGTCACAGATGCCGTCAATAACCACAACTTGTCTACTTCTATATTATTGTACGACGACTTTAATTAACAGCTAAACCATTCATAAGAAATCAATAAAGTAAGACGAATATGTACCCAAGTGACGTCACTTGAGCCCATAAACTAAAGAATATAAATACATTTTACGCAGGTTATGGTATGATCATTTTAATATATGGGTTGTTGACATAGTTTTCTGTCATTATTTTACTATAATTAGTAGAATGTGGAATTACGGTAGTAATACTTTAACAGAAGCTTTTTATACGGAAAATACTCATTGGACTAGTTGTTTACTGAATTTAATTAAGCAGGTAGTTACTTTAGTTCTATGTCCAGAAGTGGACTATTAAAGGCTGTTGATGATTACTTTAGTTCTCAATCATTAGAACTTGAATAAAAAATCTTTCATGATCGGATACTAAGAAGTATAACTTGTAATTTATGATTTGTTATGGTGTATTTGTTATGGAACTAAAGTTTGTAATACTAAGCTATCTAATAATCCTTATTTTAAATGACTTTGGGGCGAAATGGTATAGGTACCTACTTGGCTACGTCGGGTTACCAGGGCTTTCCTTTCTAGGGTACACCTGGTTCCCCGGCTACTGGTACCCGAGACGGCGTGCGGTTTTTAGTCGGTTCGAGTCCGACATAGCCTCCGGTGGTATTTCTTTTGTCGAGTGTTTAAAGTTATGTATGTTGTATGAAGGAAGTCCAGGAACAGGCAAACGTCAATTTCAACAATATTTCGATCATTTTTTGTTGATAAAACGATATACCTAGTAGGTATTTGGAACAAAGTCAGTGATCCGTAATGTAAACTGGTAGTCTACAATGTATTAGATTACGTATGACGTCTACATCTCAGTAATGGCTATATAATTTTACACAACAAAACATGAAACATCAAAACATGTTTACTGTGTTATAATTGGTAATAAAACTACACACAGCCTATATTCACCAGTTACAAGCCAATTATTAAAAAAAAACCGACTGCGTGTAAATGTAATGGGTACCTACTTAAAATTTACAAACCGGCGATTTCAATTCCGATAATAGTGATTACAAATTTTAATTTACTGTAGTATGATGCAATTGTAAAATAGTTGCATCATACGACAGTAAATTCAAATTTGTAATCACAGCAAAGAGGGACATACAAAACTCCTCGAATACAGAGTAGGGTTGTTCTAAGGTTGCTATCACCGTGCTGCTTATCACCGTATTTAATACAGTTATAAATATATTGATAGATAATATCTCAACACACAAAAAGAGGTGGGGCTATCGGTTTAAGGTCAATGGAAAATATACGAAATTCATCTTAGCATTCGCAGACGACCTCGCGATCCTCACACGTAACCTGAAGAAGTGCCAAGAACTACTGCGTAAGGTGGATGGCTTCTGTACCTGGACGGAGGGAAGGAGGACATAACCTAGCAAATGCTATTGAACTTTGTAATGGCGGACACTTATAAGTTTATATTGTTTTTCTCGTTGTAAAAGTTTGATGTCTTTTGAGCTAAACTACATTCCTCAAACTCTCTTTATTTCATAAAAAAATTAAAAGAGTTTGAAATCGTCTTTTATGTAGACTCTAAAGCCATTGATCAACACACACAATAGCAACAATCTCTGCTTTGTCAAGTAAATAAATTTAATAAAAATTAAACTTATACAAAATCTGTGATATGCCTTTGCCGATCACAATGCCGACCGCCCGTTTCCAAGGGGTTGAGCCTTATGAGAAGAAAGGGCAAACAAACTCATGGCCATGGCTCCTATCTTTGTTCGTATAATATTTGAGCGAAAGATATAAGCTTCGGCTCTTATGGACCGTCACGATCGGAGTGATAGCAAGGCCTCACAGAAAACCGGTGTTAAACAATTCTTCTTACCTTACATCTTACCCAGCCCAAAGAGCTGCAACGCACTTGATGACCCGTCTGCTGGTTTGACCTTCTATACCACAACAAAAAGAAGTTGTGTATAATTTGCACATTTTTACATAAATAGTTAGAAATTTATGAAGGCGTCTTAACAGATGTACCTCCAATGTTTTGTGCCCTGTCCAAGAATATCCGGGTTGTTTGGTACGCGTCTATCTATTTACCAAACAAAAACTGTAAATACCCACATTATCATCATTAACGGTACCAAGGTAAATTCATAAAATAACAACAAAGCACAATTTTATGCAAATAAATGTGTATTTTCCCAGATGTTCAAAATTTAAAGAAAAAGATCTGAATTTTCTTACGTAATGGGTTTAAAAAAGCTAAAGATTTTACTACTAGTGTAGTAATTTTAAAGGTTTTGTTTTTTAAGTTATAATGACAAAGCTACCTTCAATAGAGGTTGGTCTATAATTTTATTTCACAATAATTACTATTGTTCATATAATGGGTAATCAATTTTAAGAAATAAAGTAACTGAATTGAAACTTATATATTTGAAATTTAAATTTGAACATATTATTGTACATAAATATATACTAGACACCTGTAAGTTTCACACCTGCAAATTTGGAATAGGCAAAATTCTCTTAGAAACGGATACAAGGAATTTTCTCCACTCATAAATATATATGTGACGTCGACTTGTAATATACCGGTTAATTTAGAAGATATCAAAAATCATACTCGGTGCTAGTACATTTTAACGGCCGACACCACGTCGATATCCCGCCCCACCCGCTGTCTGCCACAACCTTCAATCGTTACCACACCTCGGAACCGGAGTATCATATTTCTCATTCATTTTGGACCACACCTATATGTATAATAAGCTAATCACCTAAGGGAAACAGTGTAACACGACATGTAATTTAATCTCACGGGCCTTCCCTTTGATATTGACGTTTGCGGTCGTATGTAATACTAGCATGGCGCCTTCTTCATTACTAGCTAGGTTAAACGATATAGTCGGACAACAATAAAGCATAATTTTAATAATTCATTAGCCATTGTCGTCAGTATCATATCAACAATAGGTCGTTCATTCCCAAACATAAACATCTTCTCGAGATTCATAAAAATATTTTTGCGCCGTCTTCAACTAGAATTCCTCGTCACTTTAATTAGGCTGATTTAGGCTCGTCTCCTATTGAGAACTGCTATTCAGTTCGTAGTCACTACTAAGCAATTTTCCCAACAATAGTTAATTAAACTCATAAAATGTATAGTATTATAACCACAACAAAGTAAAAGAAGACTACTAAAATTAGACTGTATCTATTCAAGTTTTGGTATTATGTAGTTCTTGAAAGTGGTATCCGTTAAGAACAGAAAATAAATGAGAATAAAAAAAAACAATGATACTACATTTTAGTATTCGAATGGATACTAAAATAGATCGAAAACGTTTTCAGAAATTACGCAAAACCTACTATTGTATGAGCATAGAATTAGTCTTTAAATGGGTATTATTTTTTTTGTAGACGTATACCTAATACAGATGTCGTCAATATGAATACTACTTCTAAAGAAAATACTAGATAAATCTATGTACTGATACGTAGTCTAAATTTTTTATTAATTAATTTTTAAAGATTATACACATAAATAGAGCAGAAGAATAATAGAGCAGAAAGTTGTAAGTTAAAAACTACAGGAAAACCTCTGCAGAAATCTTCAAAGATTCAGTATAAATCTTGATTTGGCACAGAATCCCTATACAATAACATTCAGGTTATGTTAACACAAGAACAAAACATTATAAGAAAATGAACTAAAGTCGTAATTCGTTTACCAGGCTATCTGAAGTACGATGACATGTAAATTCAACCTATTCTGAATAGTCAAAAAATTAGATTTTTAAGATTGATGTCATTTAGCGAATGTTCTTCAGTGTTAGCCTTCGATCAACACTATTGTTGATCGAAGGTGTTAGCTAAAAGAAATAGAAACAGAAACGTAGAATAGAAGACTAAACTGACAATAATAAAACATAAACACATCAATACATAATATCGTTAAAGATATTCAACGTCATAGTTTTGTTTCCAAGTGAAAATGTTCTTAAGGTTTTTCATAAAATTATATTTTCTTTTTGACAATTGACTGCACAGATGGCGTAGTGGTTGTGGATCCGATCCCCACATTTGACGACACTTTGTTTGATCCCCAAATCGTTATTCTGAGTCCGGGTGTTCTTTGTGTCCGTTACATGTATGTTTGTAAAGTCCCCCGCGACACAGGATATATTCCTAATGGAGTTACAATGATAAATATAAATCTGTATAAAAATATTCTTAGCACGATGACATTTCTATAATTGTGCTGTTATTTTTTGTACAATTTCATCATGTTACTTCAAAACTATTTATCAAACATAACAATTTAGTTTGACCACTCCACGAAGATGATAAAAAGCTAGCAACAAATGTTTACAATCGAAGCAATGACGCAAATTACATCGCGAGAGTTGTTGCAGTGGCAACAAAATGTTACCGGGGGTTAATATTCTATAAAATTATTTAAATGAATGATGCAATATGTTGTGTTTGTGTGTATTTGTAAGCTCGGAGCAGGGTTACGTTTGAAGAGCGCGGAGTATTCCACGCCGTATCACAGAGATAAACGCGGCAAGGGGTTAAGGTGTGTCAACAGCTATTATTAGATGTTATCACACCCCCCGCATATAATGTTATACTGCTATCAGTCTAGGCCAAGTGCTTTTTGTTGTTGTACCGAAATACGTCATAGCCGATTAAGTGTACTTGTTTTTAAGCTTTTAGGTTTTCATATTTTACATTATGAGATAATTTTGTTTTTGTACACTTTTCCTATTATGTTTGGCTTACAATGGATAGATTTTATTATTTTTAGAACTTGTGGTTGTAACTATACACGTTTATAAATGAAATTTCTGAAAACCTGGTAACTAGGGACTTGAGTAAAATATTTAAGAAGTATTTATGTAAATACCCCGTGATCTAGGAATCTCTCTTTCATAATCTCTGTTCCCTAAAACTAAAAAAAAATGTATCGCTGCTACTTACTACATAAATATGTAATAGAACATTATTCTAGAAGAAGAGTGTTGACTGATTTATATTTTAAACTGTAATTGATGAGTTAAATGGTTCTTATCAACGTCTGCATCAATTTTAATAGCGATTTATTATTTAATTTACCCGTATTTGTTTGTTGCTAGTTGTTTGTCGACAGAAACTTGACAATCTAATCTAAAAATCAGCTTTAAGCTTTAAGTATCGTAATCAGTTTGTTTGCCGATTTACTCGAGAGCAAACAAACATGTTTTTCCTCACACACACCATCACACTCTTCACCATCATCACTTCAAAACAATTATTAGATAACCCGATTGCGCTAGATTCTGTTGAGTGATACTGTTGGTTACCGATTCTGGTCAGCAAAGCACTTGTATCATCATTATCACAGCATTTAATAGTCACACACAGCCTTTAATAGTCCACTGCTGGACAAAAGCCTCTCTTAAGAATGGTTTCTGTGGGCGACGGTAATTGCTCAAACAATATTCTGTTGCTAAATTTTATCCATAGAAGTCTTGACAACTATTCTTCAGCGAATTAGAATACTTTTAATAATTCAACATAATCTGTACGAGTGAGCTGCTTCGGAAGTTGAATACATATTGAAAATTAATCAATGATAATTTCATGAATGATTTTTTTCTTTATGTGCCTTTGTTTTTAGTTATTTATTCAAATTGACTACAACAGGACACAAACTATTTATAAACATACATCCTTAACATCTCTTCCTTGGTTTATTTCGTAAACTTGCTCTTGAACTTAACGACAACGTTATAAATTATTAATTTCCTTGAGTTCACACATCTTCCTTCTTATCTGTATTGAATAATTCAAATGGAAGTATTTTAACCTTGCAATACACTTGCTAAATATACCCAACGAAAAAGATCTGGTTAACATTTTGAAGAAAATTACACTAAAAACACATTTTCTTCAGATAAATAATAGCATTTAGAGTCGAATTTTATTTGAATGCAAACGTTCTTTGAAATGTAAAATGCAGTACTTTATTATGCTTTATTACCAGCTAAATAAATGAATGTGTAACTTAACAATTTGAGTAACAAAACAAACTTAATTAAAATAACTAAATATTTCATCCGTTGAGTCAGTAAAACATATTAACACGAGAAGGAAGACCCGCATGCAGCTGTAAATGATTATATTAGTTCCAGTGAGTGCAATAAAATACCGAGTATATTTACTAAGTAGGTGCCAGCGGAAGGACTGCAGAACAATTTACTTTATTATCATATCCGCTTTCTGATTTATTATTAGAAACAAGTGATGCAGGTACTCATTTACATAATGAATGTGCCTCCCTATGTTATTGGGTAGTAGGAAATAAGGAATATTAAGTAGATTAGACGTACTCATAGTTTCCGGTCCAAGAAGAGTCTACCTGTCTGTTTATTTCCTGTAGGTGTTACAAGTGGTATGTACCTGGTATATATCTTGGTACCTACATACTTGGTTCTTTACTGATGATGATGATGACGAAACTTAGTAGTTGTTTTATGAGTCATTGAAGGTTTTTTGAAGCTTTTGTTACACAAAATAGAAAAATAGAGGAAGTTATTTTTTTATTTATTTTTAAAAGACAACTCCCGCACTAGGAATATATCTTTAAAAAAACTTTAAAAAAATTCTTAAAACGGACTCAAAAAACACCCCGGCTCAGAACAACAATTTGTGGATCACACAAAGTGTCGTCCCATGTGGGGTTCGAACTCACTCAGCACAGTGACTCTTACGTCTCGGCTCTAGCGATGTAGCGAGCGGCGTGACGACCGACCCAAACTCAGAACAAGAATTCGTGGTGGACTCAAAGTGTTGTCCCAGGTGGGGATCAAACCGCATAAACTACTACGCCATTCGTGCAGTCTATTTTCTATCCTTCTCCTATTCTCTATTGAGTAAGAGTTTGTTCAGAAATTGCTATAGTTTTTCCAGAGACTGAGATAATAAATGTCTCAGACATTATTGGGAATAGGAGACCAGTGTTTTCATTACCATACAACTCAATATGTAATTCTATTGAAATCCAAGTTTCATGTTAAAGTCCCATTCAAATTATTATTATTTTAAGCAACTAAAGCGTTAATCATTAATTACATCTAAGACTGAATAAAGATATTATTATAAAAGTCTGTAATCAGCTTAAGGTGATAGTTAGATATTATTCTGTAGATGAAATGACATCGATTATCAGTCAACTAAAAACATCAATTAATGATAGTGTCATAACGATATCAAATACGCAAATTTTAAATTCAGTAAGCCTTTTTGATCTAGCAATTTCTAAATTTTGCGCAATACCATACATAATATTACATAATGAATAACTTGCATTTTATGTGGTCATACATGTCACTTATTTATTCAATAATTGGCTATTGAATAGAGAATAAAAACCTTTTATGTAAATCCGCTGAACCTTACGACAGATTTATGTTCTCAGATCATTTCTATTTTTGCACTGTGAACAGTTGTTGTTTTAACTGTTTTATTTTGTGGTTTGTTGTGTTGATCTAGTCTATTCGAATAACACATTCTAACACCTCGGGATTTCTTTGTGGTCATGTAGGTATTATGTATTCCAAACGGATACTGCTTTTTTAAACTTGTACGATAAAGCGAGCTAGGTACAATAGGTAAACCGTTGAAGGCGATATTTACAGTGTTACATACTTACATTATAATATTTAAAAAAAAAAAAAAATCGGACATCTTACATACAACGCCATCTAATTTCAACTAGCGCACAACAGAGCTTGTACTGTATGAAAGCTAGATTGACTGATAGAATTCTTAAATACCATTAAATAAATCTAATTATACTTATATAGTATTTTTAGATTTTTTATCTTTATCAAAAATAAGTTGGAACATAGAATATTTGTCTTTTTTTATATTTTTGGCACAAATACGTAATAGCCACACGACTCCACAGAAAACTGATCTTAAGCAACTCATTGCTATTTATTGCCTTCCACCGAGTGATTGAGGTTGAATAAGGGCCAAACGAGGGGGGGGGGGGGCACTAAAAGGGGGCAACGACTATCTGGGGGGCTCGTTTGCCCTTCGTATGGTATAAAACCATAACAAATATGAGAACAAAGATAATGTTTTAATAAATAAATAAAAAACTATCGTACTCTGTAAAGATTTGTTATGTTTAACGTAATTATAATTTCCATATGTGTTTTTGTGTTTAATAGCCTCAGTAGTATTTCATGCGATGCCTTACGATTTTATTGGATGAATCCTACGAATAACAATTACCATTCGTAGGATGAATCAGATTTCATTTAAGCTTAGCACCCCATTGTCATTTTACATTTTATTCACACATTTTGTTTTTCTTTCTATTTCAGAATCAGATCTCACGAGCCTATCACATGTTGGTAAGTGTACATCTCATTTTTTTATTTTGTGTTGTATTTTTTTAATCCACAATATTGCTTGGTAAGTTTTTAGGCAATGAAAATTTAGTTGTCATGGAAGCTTTTTGACAGAAGCTTTAGAAACGTGCTCAATCATATTAGAATCAATAATTTTCTCTTCGGTCACTTTTATTACTGTTGAAGTGATTGACAGCAAGGCATCATAATTGCGGTTGCTTTAATAGGATGTTTAGGATAAACCATTGCCACGAGGCGCGCAATTCAAAATAAACATCTATTCTTATGAGGCCACATTCTCTGGAGCGTTGCGTACCGGCATTGTTACAAAAGTTTACTTCCATTGCCGTCTATGCCAAGAAATTTGTTGCTCAAACTCAACAATTTCAGCAATTGAAATAAAAGTAAATTCATAGTCAAAAATTTAGTTTGAAATGTCAGGAATAGCTAAAGATTACGCAGCGTAATTCTAATGTAACATTGTCACTAAAGTTTCACACACAGGTGAAGAATTTATGAGTTTTTTTGATGAAGGTGCACAAATATTTAACAAACTTATAACTGCTTTTGTATATTGGTCCTTTAGTATCGGTAAATATATGCATAGATGAAACTTATCTACATAACCCACATAAATAGGCCTACTTTTATGAGTTATTTATTGCACATAAAACAAACGGTACTAGAGTTATTTATTAGAAATGGTATAAAATAGAGACCACAGTCCATTCATGGCTGTCCTCACGCTAGTGTTTGACACCAACGTAGGTGTTCGACACACGTCTGGGCATAGACACCGTCACAATTTGATAAATATGTCGCGTTTTCGTTGCAGTATACGTTGGGCAAACGCAGATTTCAAACGAAAATAATTATTATCGACTATAAATTGGTGCAAAAATACAAAGTGATGAAATCTGGAAACATACTTGACGCGTTTTTGTGCACGTTTGATCAGGATTATGCATGACGCCGTATGCAGACTTAACACTGCGACAACGCAACACACGCGTCTCTTTGTCAATCGTTGTTTTGATGGAAGTTATAGAACCCTGACATTTATATGTATATATATGTATATATATATATATATTTTATGTCTATCGGTACACCGCTTCAGTATTTTTTTGTTCTGATAATATATACATTTTGGTATGACAATAGGCGGTCTTATCATAGCTCACGGCGATCTCTTAAAGACAACCTTTATACGGAAATTGTCAAATCTGAATTAGCGTTAGTCTATGGTGTTCTATAGAATATAAGTACATAAATTCATTATAATAAATAAACATAAAGTTACTACATACGTTTACATACTGCTAACATATATAAATACATACATACAGAGGTCCATATACTTATACATAAATACACAAATCGTTTTAGAATGTCAAGTAGTGCTTTTTTACTTGTTTTTTAAATATTGTAATGTTTGAATAAGATTTTATTGTTTAAAATCATTTTAATAAAACTGTGACTACACTACTTAGTACTTTACTAGTACTACAATAGTAGTACAATATTTTAATTTATAACCTTTGTTCATACAAACAATTCATTTGTATTCATATACATCTGAATTATTTAAGATGGAGTCCTGACGCGTCAGAAATCTGCTTTGTGACAGCTTTATATCGCTCGCACTATATACTCGTAAGCTAACCATTTATTTATGTTCTATAACAAACAAACAAAGCAAAATCTGTTCTAGTCACTCAATTTATCAGTACAAAAATTATATTAAGTTATATCAATTGAATAAAAATGGGTTAACTGTTGACACTTAAAGTACTTTCATAAATATTACTCTAAGATATATGAGAGAGCTCGTAATACAAATTGCACTAATATCATACATTACACTTCAAAGAAAATAGCTCTTTATCAAGTCGAACGGCCTAAGAATTTTTATATATTCTTAAACAAATGTACAAACTGAACAACAAAAGCAATATAAAAAATATTTTGTAACTTTGGCCAAACAACAAGAGAAACAAAACTATTAAAATCATTCAAATCATCACATCATCACATCAACAGCCTTTAATAGTCCACTGCTGGACATAGGCCTCTCCTTAGAAAGGAGGTTTTGGCCTACTATACCACGCTGGCCAGACGTGTTGGTATAGGGTTCGTGTCAAGTTTTCCTTCTTTTTGCAGTGCTGGTGTCCTGCGTTGTTTTGTGCCCTTAGTCGACTCTTACGACACCCACGGGATGAATTGGGGTAGTGACATTCCGTATTTTTAATCCGTCACTACACGGACAGTTATGGAAATATTTGAAGTTAATCAGAGACCACAGAGTATATAATGATATATCATATCGATTAATTTGAATAGAAGGGCAGTTGTATGTAATACATAGAATTATATCAAATTGTATCGATATAATGATAAACTGTCAGTTCACAGTGACCCTATTGTACCAGCATGCGTTTCAATTAAGGTTCATAACAGTAATTGATGTCAGTATTTGAACGCGTCGGCATAGAGTTTAGTTCCTACGACGTACTTTAATATTTTATAGTATTTCATTAGTTTTCAATATATTCATTTACTCACAAATTTAATTGATACTGTTTTTGGCAAGTTTGAATCTATACTAATATTATAAAGCTCAAGAGTTGGTTTGTTTGGTTTTAGGCGTTAATCTAGGGAACTACTGGTACGAATTGATTTTTTTAGTATTATACAGCCTATTTATTGAAGTTAAAGGCTATATATATATATACATATATATATATATATATATATATATATATATATATAACATCACGCTACAACCAATAGGAGCCAAGCATCAATGAATAATGTTGCAAAAACAGGGTAATTTTATTCCTTTTGAGAGACGCAGACAGTTGCGCGGTTCAGCAAATACATGCTTATTAAACTCTTAACAAAAGTAATTGGTATAAATATAACTTTGTTTGTCAAACTTAACATGTTATGGAAATGTAGATAGGTTATCTTTCTTACCAGTTAATGGTAAAAAGTTTTCAGGAGGGGTTTGGTACCCCGAATTGTTTGACAAAATAGAAAAGAAATATTTAAATACTTGACTATATTGTGGTTTACATATCAAAGTATTTTACGACAACTAACAAAGCTGAATATATTTTATGCAAGAGAGTAACGGTGCAGAAAAATTAAGTAATAGATAATATTTATTTATTTAGTTTCACTTTAGTCGGTAAACATTTATTCAATAGATAATAATTATATAAAAATAAATGATATATGTGTGTTATGATAATTTAAAAGCAAAAACAAAAAATACCAGGATGTTAATTTATATGAGAGTCGTTAAAATTCTCAGACTTTTTGGCATTTTACCAATTATTAATTTCAATGCAATTTTCAGACAGTCTGCAAGCAGTTATTTGTTTTCTAAAACTTTGTACCCATATTGCTTCAGCTATTAAACAGCTAAAAGAAGGCAGAGGTTCTGTCTTCGCTTGAATTTTTAATGTTATTTTTGTAATTTTGCAATTCTGTCATTTATGAACCGTTTTGGAGAGACCTTTTTTAAGTTAGGAGGGCCTAGGGCTATACCTCATTTTTGTTCCCATTGAAATTTAGAAAAAAAAAACACCCTTAAGAATATAAAATTAAGGAATGTAGAATATAGTGCATTACAATATTATATTATAATGTAGGCACATGGAAATCGGTTGTGTTTTTTAAAAGTCAGTTATGTTGTAACATTAGTAGTCTATATGTAATTTCCTTAAACCATTGTCAGGTTAAAAAGTGAAGATTTATACCAGTAATATATGAGAAGTAAATATTCCGTTGGCAATGTTCCACGTCAATTAAGACAAAGATAATTGTTAGTTGAAGTAAATGTTTGAACAAAGAACAAAAAGAGAGATGCCGAAAATAAGGTCTCGAGTGTGAGTAAGTATTGTATACTTATTTTTTTTTTCATTCTTTTCATTCATTTTTGATATTCATTTTTTTTTAATTCTTTATACTTTTAAGTACCGATATCATCTAGGAAAATAAATAATAAAAATTGTAGACGAATATGAATCTAAAATATTTTCAGTGAAGTTCCGACAGGGATAAGTAATTTTTTGGAAGTATTTATAATTTTTTAAATATTTAATTAGAAAAGGGATAACTAAAGACAGGGTAAGACTGACACAACGAAAGTAAATCTACATGGTCACTCAATTATTTGTGGATTCGTGACCTGCAAAATTTGTCTGCGAGATTTGTTGAAACTTTCAGCTGAGACTGAAGAAATAGCTCAGCTTCTGTAAAGCGTGTCAAAGTAAAACATTCATCCAGCCATCTGCCACAAAATCTTACTCCGCCTTGTACAGAGCAAAAAGAAGACATTTTTTACTTACTTACTATTAGAACTTCACAGATGACATATTAAAATTACTAAAAAAATTAAAAGCACCGACAACTTTTAAGCAAAATGATTTTTTTCGCTATTGTACACTATTTAAATGGTATATAATCAATGGATTCTTTAGGTAAGTTTAAGTATTCATATTTAAATTTTATTTAAAGCCATGTATACATACAAATAAATGTATTACCACATTACAAAGATGTTTTTACCACAATGTTTGCCAATATGTTATTATAGGTTGCATTCTTATGCTTTAAATGTATAATTGCTTATAATACTCGTATGTATTGTAACGTGAGTACAAAATGACTGAAGAGCATAATAAAGTCACATTGTCAGTCACATGGTTTATTCATTAGGCAGACTTCTCAGACTGTTTAATAGGCCACTCATTAGCATTGTGGACTTAAACGTAAATGTGATGATAAAAAACTTTAAATAGCAATATAATGAGTAGTGATTGGCCATTTTTAATGATGCACGTAATATTTCGAAAGTTGTCCTTCCTCGTAACTGTTATAAGAGTAATGATGGTGTGAATGTCCTGATAATTCGAGAATAATATTATAAAAGTTGATTTGGGTCTCTAGAGGAGAATTCTACTTTAACACTTATATTATATATGAAGGTATTT